GGGGGGGGTATATATCTTTCGATTGCTGTTCATTTCTTTTTGCATCACTGCAAACTGCTTTAATTCCTGCATTACTGCACTATTTCTATTGATTCAACGTCATGCGTTTAAAGGTCTGAAATGACTATTGGGTCAACCTGTTTCACATGCTGTTTATTTCTAAGTAACTTGAAGGATTTATCTTGGTCCACCTCACACTGAGCCAGCTATCGAAGAAGTCAACTTCAACTTAGCTCATACTCTTATACGACCATAGTGTTAAGGCGTTAAAGCGGTAAGGACGTTAAAATACCATCAGTGAGTACATGTTAGCCATCAGTATTCTACAAAAACTGCTTTTTGAAAATTAACTCGAAACTCCATTTTTGAAATGTCAGTTTTATAAAATCTAAATTTGAAAGTTTACCAGAAGCGTACAAATGCACGCAGTTTATTACGTCTCTTTCTTCAGACCGCTGTCTTTATGCTGGTACCAAAAATGGATTCTTGATCAGTTATTCTCCGAAGGCCAACAACGAAACCGCCGGTTAGACTTGAAAGAATATCATCTTCGTCTACAGATTTATGAATTTAGGCATCTCTACTCAGGGTTACAGCATGCACATGCAGAAAAGCTTCTCGAAGAAAAGTGTTGTTCAGCTGGAGGTGATCCCTCAACTTAACCTTCTACTATGTTTGTCAGGTATGTCTTTATATTAACGTTAAAGGCGTAGAAAGTTTGAAACGTGTCATGCAAAAATAATTCCGGTTTTTATTGAAGAACTTAGAATTAGCGGTCAAGATTCCGTATTTCATTGCTCTTGATGAACAGAGTTTTCCTTTTTCCTACTACTTATCACCTAAAACTGACGATTAACGTTTTACGGGAATTTGACGCCCATCTCATCGTCGAATTCCCATCTAAATCCTAATTTTACACCATTTCAGGCCTCTAGGAATCTCGATGAACTAAACTACATGGACTTCAGTGTAACCATTCTAAACAACAGATACTGTTCTCGTAAACGAAATCGAGAACGCTTATACGTATATATCTTTCCATCATCCCCTTATTCCCAGTTTCCTGTGGATAACTGAAACAAGTCGTGACAACATTGTCTGTGAGCACCTACTATGCCGGATGCATGTCGTATCATTTTGTTTGCTAGAAACTCCTCGTACTCATAACGAACGACGTTTTAGGAGCTGACACTCATTGCATGTTATAGAATAAATATCAAAATATGTTCATATTCTGAAGTATGCCTTAAAACGCATAACCCATCCACGACTATATTTCACCATTTATTGCACCTCTCTCTTCATCATGGTTGCCTAGCGGCATGGAGGCGCATTTAAGCAGGCCACTGCTCTACTGTTGGAGCAGTTATTGGTTTCCTGACCTACTCATTCAAATGATTTCAATATTAGATTTTGTAATGGTTCATATTAGAAATGCAACATGTAACGGTTTAATTAAATGCAATATGTTGGTATCTTATCATGCACCAGTAACGACGTTTCGACGGATATTCAGAATCCCGTTCATCTTAAGATTGGTGAAAGTTTGCCGATCGCTTAGCATTCGTCCTGAAAACCTGTCCAATAGTAGAACTGAAAAACGAATCTTTCCGCAAAATCCGCCGGTACGTATCAGCAAACCGTCAGATCACTGTTACCATACGGAATGAAGACAGTTTTTCAAACGAAGGTTGAAAATGACGGCTGAACTGTGCAGGAAAACGTTGACTTCGACGCATAATGAGGATTGAACGACAGGAACTCATAAATATTGGCTATGGTCTTTTGGGTACAGTTGGTCTCAGCAGATGTGGAGATTATGACCATTGTAGTAGATGTGGGAAGGTGGTTGGTCCTGTTAGACAAACGGGTTTAGTATGCAAGATTTACTCTTCCTCGCGAGATTCTAGTGTGGAAGTCGAAACACGGCAGACAATCACTATGAGGCCAGCATGCAACATGAGGGAACGCGCTAGATGCAAATGCTTCTGTAATTCAGTAGTTATTCACATATAACAAAAGTGTTGAATAGCATTGGATACAGCGAACTTCACTAACCAGAGACGTTATGCTGATGCAAACGGCTGAAGGTGATGATCTCAACAAACATGATCACAAAGTGATGGCGCGATATGGTTACCTGTAGCTGCAGATTAGTGTAGAGCTTTTTACTGCTTTTATTCAACTGTTACTTCAGTTGTGTAGTACTCCGTGAAATTCTGTGCTTGTTTGCGTTTTCAGCTTTGATGATACACTTTTCTATACTTTTGTACATGTTGCTTACGTTTTTTGGTTTACTTGAATTGATTTAAAGTTTCTGCTGCTTCAGAATATGTCATTTGGATATATAGATGATAAATCATTGTGCTCCAACTTCTTTAAGGCGCTATGCTACTAGGTTCCTGACAGGTAAATGCTGTCTGTAGCTGGTGCCTGTATATCTACCGTATATAACAAAACTTCACTTGATTTTGCTCTTTATCTTTGATTTTTAGATAACGTGATTCAAATTCACGATTATGGACAGGTAAATTTTCCTGTGCTCAGTATTATGGCGAAGTCGAAGGGGGCTACCGAGTTCCGAGTTAGCCTACTACCGCAGGTATTGATTTCCGTCGTATTGTCGTTGAACTTTGTTTTATGATATGATAGGATGAACATAGTGGCCAGGCGGAAACAAGGCTGATACTAGCTGTAGCAATTCGGAGAAAGTGCGGCTTTTACATCTGGGATAAAAGCGAGTTTGTCGAATATTCCCCGCTGGTGAGTTATTGATACTGAATTTTGAACTCTCATTGCGTAAAATACACTCTAATTTGCCTTTCTGCACAACGTTTTAACTTCGTCATTATGTTTCTTCGACTCCGAGACTGAGGTTGCTAAGTCATTTGGGCGCCGAACTCCAGCCAATAGTTTTCGAGTTAAGTTCGGTCACTGTTACTCGTCCTTATTCCTTCCGAGGGTGACAGATGAGTGCAACATTGCGCCTGTCACATGGCAGTAGACACTGCCTTAAAAAAATAAGGCGCTCCTGGCTAATGGCATAGAAATGGTGATCAGCACCACACAATCAGCTCCATGAAGGGGCATGAAAATGGCTAAATCATTAAAGTGAAGGAAGACCGACGTTCTGAAGGTGGAAAACTTTCCTTTTTCTTCCTTCTTCGACTTAATGAGAAAACGATGCATTGACGAAAGTTTGTGATCCCTGTCGGGCCAAGCACTTAAGCTGGTATTTAAGATTTACGAGGGAAAACAGATGGTAGTCGTGGGTTCATGGCGGAGAGAGGTGTTTCGGCTTCACACACCGGTGATATATCTACTTTAATCCGTATGCGATATGAATTTCTCTATTAACTGCTAATTTTTTTGAGCTACAGCTTCAGTGTTGCTTTTCTACCTTCATTGCAGCCAACTCCAAAACTAAAGGAAAAGTTAAATTGCTTTCAGCAACGTTTGTACTGACACATGATTATGGTTAAATGGGCTGGACCAAATAGGAAAAGCTTTGTTCGTTTTCGAGCACATTTGATTGGTAGATGTGGAGATTAAATAAATGAAGTTGCTTTGTTAGACAAACAGTGCCTAAGCCACTTACTTCGTCCTGCCAGCTTCTCCTGTGGGAGCTGAAACACTACAGCCCTTGATCAGGCGGCCAACATGCAACATGGAGGAACAAAGCAAATTCAGGTCTGCTTTCGGAGTGGAAATGTTCGCAAGCTCGTACGCATGTGTGAACCCAAACACTGACGCAGTTACATTGTTCATATCTGTGAATTATCGCGAAGCTGCTCTTCCAGTGATTTTCGTTTGTAGTCTTTGCTCGAACATGTATTATTTGGAAGGTGAGATATATATTTTGTCAAAATGTGGTGAATGCTAACCTTTTGACACGTGAATATTTGCAGTATAGCAGCTTATTGTCGTAGGGATTTCAGGTTTATGAAAGTTTCAGATTTGAATTGAATGCACTGAGTCTGAATGCAGTCGTTTATCATGTCGTTTATGTTTCCGTCATCCGGGACGTACTTATACTATAAGTAAAGTAAAAGTGCAGCTCCTGCATCTGTAATCCTCCCTCGAATGCTATGACTTTCTTTCTTTACTACTTATTTAAAACCGACTAGCGATTACCATGAAACCGCTGTATTTCACCAGTTTGTCAGTTTCATATAAAATTCTACCTTAGTTTGTCGTTGTTGTTTAACGTACTTCCTTGCGGTCTCTTAGTTTAGTGAATTAGGTACATATTTATTTCTTTGTCGTATGCTGCCCACTACATTCATGCTGAGATGAATGATTATTTTCATTAATGATTAGGCTTTTCATTAATAATTTGCGACAAAAAAGATTTTCTGATACGATTACGAAACTCGTTTGTATTGGACGCATATCACATATTTAAATCCAAACCACACAGATTACCTGTTTGGCGGAGGATACTCCTGAGTTTTTTCCTCCACCACCGCCTTAGGACCTGAAAGGAATATAGAGGCTTAAAGCTGAATGGGCCATTACATAAATCAGTTGTTTGTTAAGAGATGTTGGTTTTCACGACTGTTTCTAAGGATTATCTTTGCATGTTTCTCGTAACTTGAAGACACAATCGCATTCTCTTTGTGTCTAGAGCGTTAGTGACCTTTTACTAGGCTGTATTTTGTGATATCATAGCGGCTGCAATACTCGTGTCCCACTTCACGTCACTTTGTTTCTAAAGTCTTTCACTCTGTAAATACCACTGTATGTATTACCACCCTTATTGAACAAAATAAATCATGTGGGTTTGCACTCAGGATGGGTTATTGCTATTATACCACGCGATGGAGGCAATAGCATGTGCAAAGCCCTTAGTTTTCCATAAATAGTGGATGGTGCCTTTGAAATTAAGTACCTTGGATGAATGCATTTTACTGTTTGAATATACGGAGCATATCCATGTCTTTTAACAGAAGGGAAAAGAAAGGCGACCTACGAACACAAGTTCAGTAGCTGTTTACATTGTCTATCATCGTGCTACCATGGGTCCTTCATCATGTGAGCCAAGACAGGAATAACTGAATTATGTCTCAGTTCCACACTAGAGTACAAGTTTACTTTTTGTGTTTTCATACTGGAATTATTCACATAACTACAGGAATGACTGGTATTTATTGCAGAAATTATTTACAGTCTCTGCTCTTACGGATCTGTAATGCTGTTGGAAAAAATCATTAAGATTGACTAGCGACAGAGTACGGTTTTCCGGAAATGCTTTAAGTGTCATTCTGCTTCCACGATACACCATGGAAAGATGACATGACACATTTTGTTTTTAAGAGAAATGTGAATCCTTGTTGATACGAGGTAGGGGTGATTCACTGGTTGCAAAGTTCCCAAAGGTTCCATGAACATGATGATGGCGGCTGGAATGAATTTTGTCACTGGTCATCCTGCCATCTGTTTCCGAGTCGACGGCTGGATAAACCGTCGATTTTATATCGTTTCAAAGCCTTAGATATTACTTTATTATGTATGTTTTATTTGTTATTTGATGAGTTGCAACGACATCGCCAAACTTAGTAGACCTTGTAGCGTGGCATATCTTATTAAACCACGTGTAACTCTGAACAGCATATCGCCATATGTTGTTTTTCTACTGTTTAGACGACAGTCTAAGGATATCTGCATATCCTGATGTCTTCCACCAAAAGTTTTTCAGATCTGTTAGTTTTGCCAGTCATCATTCATTTAGGTGGCAAAGGCATCGTGAAGAAGCCTCCTTGTGCTTTCGTCGGGGTTTATGTAGGCAGCAGTTCCTTGTCCCTAGATTCGACCTGTATTCAGAACATTCTTTTATGAACAAATTTGTTTTTATGTCATGAATAGGCCAGCTGACCCCTGACTATCATTGTTTTGTGAACCGAGTGCATGAAGGACCATGGAATATCTTCTAAACTAAAAAAAATTACCATTCAACGTACTACTCGCCGGTTTGGTCACTGAATGCGGTGGTTGTTGACCACTTCCTGAAGCTAAGACATCGAGTTTGAGTTTGTCGAAAACTGCTCGAAAAAAGGAGCTTTGCATTCAGCAAACGGTTGTTGCCATAGAACAACGAATGGAATCACCTGAATCGTGGTATAACAACTTTTACGGTAATCCAATCGAGTTGTTCATCTCAAGCAATATTATTGATGTGAGAGATCAAGAAAACGGAAGCTTTTAAAGACTAATATTTTTTAGTGTCTCGCATTAGTCTGAACAGGTATTTCCAGTTTCATTAGTTTTACAAAATAAAACGACTTCTCCGCTTTCTGGTGATCTTTAAAAGCATGATTACAAAATTCGCATTCGAAATTTGAGGTAAAATAACTTAAACCATCTTTATGGCTTTTCTATGATTAGAATATACAATAGGATAAACTAGAACGCTAGTTCATGTAATAAACTAGTTTACTGTCAGTCTTGCTAGGGTTTATGGCATTTTTTATTGTTCTTATGTTCAGCGTTGGTTGTGTAAATCTAACTTGGCAACATTGCTGCTCACTAGTAATCACATCCGTATATGATGCTATGTCTGCTAAGTTGACTTTGGCAGTTGCGGGGTGCCGATCATTTTTGTCGGCACCAGCTCTGATGTGGCCTCGAAAACATTCTCAGATTATGTACTATTTGTTATCAAACATCTCAGATAAAATCCATCATACTGCGTAGTCGCACAGTCTGATTGGTTCTAGGAGCTTATAGCTTACGTAACCATTCAAGCAGGCTACGGCTTCCGCAGTACACAGGCCCATAATGACACCTTTTTTATAGTTGCCTGTTCGAGCACCAACAAATATCTCTTGATTTATAGTGAAATATAAAACAGGTTGACCCCGGTGTTATGAGTAACAGTCACCCCAGTGTTATGAGTCTGTCAAACTGGCCTCGGTATCGATCATTTGCAGCATTCACTTTCTGTCACAATATTTAGATGAAAACCAAGACATCTTTTAGGTCAATATCAGCTTTAACGACAACATTCGCCGCATGGTCTTTTACGACAATTTTTTGGTTTTCGCTGTCAGGGACGAATACTTCTACGCTAACATCATCGGGATTGCGGTAAAAAATAAGACTAATTATTGCTTGAATAATAATAATTAAGTATGTATAATACGCCACTAAATCCTGGAGAGCAGGTTATGCTGGAGGAACAGAATTGTGGCCGGTGCCAGTATACTCTACCGATTCCTGCCACTGCATGATGATCATCTAGTGGACACAGTGGAAAAGTTT